AAATTAATTCCTTTTTGTCTACTTAATGTAGCGCATTGATAAATATGCCAGGGTCATTTAGTTTAAATGGAACTTTTGAAGAAGACCCAAAGGTGTGTCCTGGTAATAAAATGAGTTGCCCAAAGCTTACCTTCAAGAATCATCATGTGTGATTTAGTGGGAAAGATGGAGAAAATGTAAAGGTATGCCCCTATATTGTGCAGTAAAAAGTTTTATGTGGGGGAGCCAAAGAGGCTCGATAGTATGATGAGTTGTTCCTAGTTCATTAATAATTTTGATAACAGTTTCTCATTATTTTTCAGTCTCCATCAAATCACTACTATAAGGGCATGATTTTTTAGAAAATAAAGGAAGTCACTGAAAAAAGCATAAAGTTGAGTAAAGAAAGGAAAATGCATATCTATTGTGAATGTCTCCATCTCACAGTCAGTCAGGTATCTAACAAACACTTCTGAGATGACATCCAATGTCATTTCACTGTTACTGCACATGGTGTTGTTTCTTAACAATTGCATGTCCCTTACTCCTGTTTTGTTTCATTCAGCAGTAATTTTTCCGTTTCAAGATTTTATGTCTGAATTATCTGCAAAATTGTATGAAAACTTACTTCTTAAATTTGTGATATGGTTGTCCCTGTTCAGGTTTGATGTTTCTTTTCATAAGACATACCTACCTCTTTTAGTGGGGCAGTCAAGTGAGACAACAATGATGAATAATTTATAATGCTCAATACATCTCTCCTGCATATTTCTGAAACCTCCTTCATGCATCATCGTACAGTCCTTTCCTCTCTATTTGTACTACCTGTTTGCTTCATGAAATAAAAAGTGTGTAGAAGAAATTTCAGCCCCTTAAGTCTATCTTCTTCCCATAACTAGTAGAGCCCCAGATATTGTGGGGACTCTGCCCTCTGCACCCTTTGTCCTCCTCCATGAGACCCTCAGAAGGAGATGGGGGAGAGTGTGGAGGGAGACACGCAGCCCCAGAACCCCTGCAAGGCCCTATCTGAGTAGTCCATGCCCACCATAGGCACGCTGCTCCTCAGGGATTGGCAAGGACCACAGGCCAGCCGTTACTCAGATCCCTGCATATGTAATGCTGTGAAGTGACCAGATGGTTATTGAAGATACACAGACTTCATGAAAACTTGCTGGAAAGGCTAATCTTCCCTTTATATAAATACAGTTGTTTGTCTATAGTGAAAAATCAGACTATTTTAACCTTAGAATGGACACACAGGCCATTCCTCTTCTTCCAGAAGAGGACACACAGGCCATTCCTCTTCTTCCAGAAGAGGAAGAAGGCTTTACTTAAAAAAAGGAAAAAAAAAAAAATAAAAGCCCAAACAACTAAACTGAGAGATTTAGATTATAGTTATAAATTCAATGACCTCAATTTTTACAAAAAAAAAAAAAAAAAAGATAAAAAGGAAGTCACAAACTGTGATCTCAGATCCTTGCAAAGAAATCTCTGTGAAGTCAGTGAAAATTACAAAAACATATCGGCACAGAACTTGGGCCCTTGCTGTTAAGTGGCATAGCAGTGAAACTGGGAATTAAACATTTGAAATCACAGAATGTGGAACTTCTGTGTCATTCCCTAGATGCATCTCTTTGAACCTTAAAGGAGCCTTCCAGTTGACCATATGGTCATGCAGTACTATGTGGTGGCCTACAGCATTGGAGATATCTGCACAGAGCTGGAAAGTATCATGTGGGATCTTGAGACACACTGTAGCAGAAGACTTAGAGTATCTCTGCTGGCCCTGGGCCCCTGTGCAAGGGCAAAGTCACCTGGGGTGCTTAAAAATGTCCCATAGGCTTATGTATCTTCAGCTTCCTCAGGTGATCCTGATCTTCTCTTACAGTGGGAGGGACTTTGCTTCCCCAGTCCCTGCCTTGCAGCCCATCCACTCAAGAGGTGTCAGAAGAGACACTGTTAGTGAAGACTGAGGGGATAAAATTCATTGAATACCTCAGTCTTCTCATCTGTTGTTATCAGTTTGCCAGCTGTGTTCATCAGAGAACTGGAAGTGGAGTACACATCCTTTGACCTTCCTTTTTTGGCTGACATACCTATAACAGAAGTCCTTATTATCTTTGTATCCCTAGCCAAGTTCACTTCCAGCTGTGGTTTGGCCTTCCTGACACCGTCCCTAAACAACTGGTCAAATTCCCTATATTTTCCCAGGATATGTGTCCCTGTTTCTACTGCCTGTTCATTTCCTTCTTGCCGTTTAGCTTGAGCAGCAAATGACAGCCATGTCTTGTTTTCCTTTCTTCATTTCTTACACCTGGGTGTTGAGAGGTCTTGCAGTCTATGGAAAGATCTGCCAGCTTTGTTCTGCTCCTTTGTCCCTGAGGGCAGCTTCCCAGAGGGTCCAACTGACTGACTTGTTTAACAGCTGGAATCTTACTTTGAGAGTCCTGACTTTACTCTTTGTCCATCACATTTTCCTCAGGGCTGAACACTCAGTGCATGATCCCTGCAGACCAGGCTGCCACTGATCTTGATGTATCTGTTTAGCTTGTGTTGATGACCAACAGATCCAGTAACACATCCCCTCTGGTAGGGCTGTCTATCACTTGGCAGCTCTGTACCATATGGAGTATCTTTACAGTTAAGTAGGGGCTTTGAGATGAGTATGAGGAAGAGAAAGGGGAGAGAGGTAGGATCAGATACTTAGATTTATCATCTCTGAAACCTTTCAAAGTTGCACAGACATAAAAAGATGCTTCATTCTTCAAGGAGAAGAAAAAAAGTGAGGCTGCTGTTAAATTATCATTGACTTTAAAGAAGAGACAAAAATCTTTAACCTGTGTTTTAATAGGAGGGAAGATTCTACTAGGAATCATGCTAAGCTGAAGTTTACTACAAATACAAATGACAGTGTTTTCCAGAATACAAAGAAATCATCTTGAAAAGCTTGGAAGTGTGTCTTAAAACTGCTTTACTTCTATTCTTATTCTTGAAAAATTCAATTTTTCTCTGTAGACTCTGAAGTGAAAAAGTACAAATTTGTTATCATTATGTCAAATAAAAAATGGTTACTTTGGTACAATGGCTTTCTTCAGCCTTAAGATTTTCTTGGTATTACACCTTCACTGACCATCCTACAAAACATTGCTATTTGTAACACAAATAACACAAATATAATATAAATACAAAGAAATAGTAATGGGGTAAATCAGACTTTATGAATAAGGAATGAGAAACTCGTAATACTTCCACAGATATATAAAATACAGAATTTCAGCAAACACCATGAAATTTTCCTTCTACTCTACTGATTATCAGTAGAAAGTGCCAATTCTTACTTTTTTTACATGACTGTATTTTAAGGTTATATGCAAAAATCCCAGAAGACTGTGACTAAATATCATGGTTTATTGATTGCAGAGAACAGTCAACGTCTCTGTTTTTCAAACAAATTCTTTTTTTTATTACTTTACCTGTCTGAGAACAAAGAAGATCATCTTCAGGTCTAAAACCATCTGTTAATCAAGAAACGTGTTAGGGTGCCAACAGATCTGAGACTTTATCACCATACACATTTTCTTAGTCATTGCACATTTAAAAGTATTCTTTTTCATGAGCTGTATAGTGGGGAAGCATTAAATTTATATACTTAGACTATCATACAATAGGTAGTTCACATTTTTAAAAACATTGTTTTCCATACTCACTTCTAGTTGTGAATTTTCCCATAACAGAATATGGCAGAGGAGTGTGTAAAATGACATGCAAGTTCAGTGCTGCTTTCACTGGTAATGCACATGTGTTAGTGTTAAAAATTATTAAATATTGTCAGAGGAGAAGGGTTGGTTCTGTAGCTGTGTTCTAGTTCAAGAAGTAAATTAAGGGTTTAGGATTTTTTTATATAATTTATTTCCAGGTAAGATGAAGAAATCCACTTAGACAAGATCTGTGAAGATACATGGACATGTTCTTATTAATACTGATTTCAGAGCAGTTAAAATCAGTTTTTCTTCTTAGAAAGGTGTGTGTGCACATATGAAAACAAAACAAAACAAAAAAATCAGAATACTCATCTGAATAAAGTGCTTAGGAAAATACACAATATAAATCAGTCTTTCCAATAGCTTTCTGCAGTGTTTCTTGAAATGGACTCAAAAGTCCCCCAGAATTAAATCTTGTTCTCAAATCAGATGGTTTGTTAAATTCCAGAAGTTAGAGCCATCACTTATTAGGGTGAGGCAGTCATAAATGGGGGTGTCTGAACATATGAATGGAAAGCAGTTTGGCAGAAAAGGACCTGGGGGTCCAGGTGAACACCAGTTTGAACATGAACCAGCAATATGCCTTTGCTGCAAAGAAGGAAATGGTATTTTCAACTGCATCAGACAAAGTAATGCCAACAGGTTGAGGGAGGGGATGCTGCCTCTTTATTCATGACTGGTGAGGGTGAGGCCACACCTGGAATATGGTGTCCACTTCTGGGCTCCCCAGAAGAAGACATGGATATACTGAACAGAGTCCAGTCCAGGACCACTAGGGTGATGAAGGAACCAGACCATGTTTCCTATGAGAAAAGAGTAAGACAGCTGGGACTGTTTAACCTGGAGAAGAAAAAGCTCAGGGGAATCTCACAAATGTCTATAAATACCTAAAAGGAGGGTGCAAATAAGACAGTGTCAGTCTGTTTTCAGTGTTGTCCAGTAACAGGACCAGAAGCACAAATGGGCACAATGGGCACCAAGTGAAACACGTGAGGTTCCCTCCGAACATTAGGAAGCACTTCTGTACTGGGAAGGTGACTGAGCACTAGCACAGATTTCTTAAGGATGTTTTGGAGTCTCCCTTCTTAGAAACATTGAAAACCCATCTAGACTCTGGGGAACTTGATGTAAGTGGACTTGCTTGAGCAGGAAGGTTGGACAAGGTGGCCTCCAGAGGTTCCTTCTAGCTTCAATGGTTCCATTCTTCTGTAATCTCAAGGAATTACAAACTTTAAACCAAGTCTAATACACAAAGGCTGTCATTCGTCCTATGCCTCTCAGGATGCTTCTTCTATCCTGCTCCTAATTGGGTAATTCACACAAAACCTTGTCCTTACATAAGACTGGGATTCCACAGGGGCAATAATACCAGAGCTAAGTTCAGGATTGTGTACACAACCCCTTAAGATGACAGTGCTTTTGCACACCTTAGTTTACTATCTGATATCTGTTAACTGTACATTGGTCAGCATAGCCTGTGTGTAGTCACCCTTGTCTCATTATAAGCACACATATGGGACCTTTTCTGCAACAAGAGTAGAACCTTTGGTTTTCATTTAAACAAATACATTCAGAAACTGCCCTATGAGAAGCACCTTAATATGACCAAACTGATATCATATCTCACTGAAGGTCATATTGCTTTTGCCTCTTTTCTGATTGTGCCTAACAGTGATGGTGAATCATGGCAGTAGTGAGGCTATAACACAGTTACATCACATTTTATGACTTTAGGGAATGTGTTTAATTGATTAATAAATTGTTCATAAATTAACAGTTTTACTGTACCTAATACCAACACCATTAAGTTGTGTAGACCATCCAAATTCCCTCCGCTGCTTCTTTCATTTCCTTCAGGATCTTGAGTATCCACTGCATTGTAAGTCTGTATCTCAGCTATATTCAGCAAATTTTTCTTTACTGTCAGTGTGTTTAAATCAGCACAGTCCAATAAACCTTTACAACCATTAAAATTACCTTCCATCCAAATGAGCACAGATAGTAATCAAGCTGTTTCTGTCTCTTGTTTAATGAAACCTTGTTTGGAATATTGCCCTCTTAAGTGGTAGCACTTCAGTTTTGGTAGTCAGTGTATTGCTTTTCCTTTGGAACATTCTTTTGATCCCTTAAGAATGTATCTAGCAGTTTCCATCCAGTTGTCATTCAGAGAAGCGTTCTGTTTTTTTGGTCTTAAACTCAATGAGCCAGGTTTTTCACGCTGTAAGACAATAACTCCAGAAACATTTGCTACACACTGACTTTTGCTGAGCACACAGTGATGTAAAAGATGCTTAATGTCATGTTTTATAGCTGGTGCCTTTATGGCCTACACTTTTTATAATATGCATCGTTTACTGTTGAACTTTTCTACTTCAACATCCAGTAAAGAAATTAACTGAAAATATTACAGATATGCTGTAGTTGATGAGAACAATAAAATAGTGAACTGATGTCTGAGCTGTGAAGACATAGTTTTAGTTGTAAATTTTGAAGGTTTTGTTTGCTCGTTTGCTTGTTTTAAATTGAAAAACCACTGGTATACCCAGACAGAATGAGTCTGTGTCAATCATTAAATAATACATCAAAAATTATAAAAGCACATTTATGCACTAATGTACTTCATGCAAAAGCTTTGTCTGCATAGGACTGTATATACTATGCAACCAGGATTTTCTATCTTTCATTCTGTCCTGTTCACAGAAGAGAAAAAGCATTTTACAGCACATATCATGACAGAGTTGCTTAAAGGAAATTTTCTAATATTGGTTATAAGATTGAAGTACTTGTATATTATAAGACAGGGAACTGCTGTGGCTCAGTTATATTCTTCATTTAATGAAAATTCATACAATGCTCCCTTGCTTCTCAGTTTTGGGGCAGCTCTCCAGAAAAGTATCTATAAGTACATCCTTACATATATCTTTCCTTTAAGAGCTCTCTGACAAAAACATTTGCATCATCACATAAATGCCCACAGGTGACTGCATGACTGTAATCCCGTCTCCTTTCACATTAATACTGGCTCAATTATATTCCTATCTTACATTAACAAACTATATGTGCAAACAAATTATCTCCTTGAATAGAAGTGATTGTAAATTTTTGTTTAGTGTAATGAGTACTACTTTACTCTCTTTGAACATTACTATTGTTTCTCCCTAATCAGACTCAATTGTGTCTTCTGTGATTACTGAAATTTTAAACACACATAAAAAAAGTTATTTTATTTAGTTGATTTTATGTATGACATTTGTATTGAAGCATATGAACAAGTAGTGAGTTATTGAACAAACACAGGTACTCCATAAATGTTATTAGTAATAGACTAGTAATCTCCATAGGAATATATAACTGATCCTCTCTACAATTACCTTAAAGTCTTCCATTTTTAATCCAAGAATTTTCTTTGCTGTTTTAGCTACAGTATCATATTATGGTCTATTAACTGACATAATCCAATAGCTCTACTTGGATGAACCACTTTCCTTTTACGACATAGTGCAAGCAAAGTCACAGTGATGTTTCTAGATAATTACCTTATATGAATAAATGAATATATAAATACAATGAAATTATTTACTCCAAAACCCATGTTACCACTTTGTGTAAATTACGTACAGCTAACATATTCTGATCATTACTTAATAACTGTTACTTACTCCTGGTATTTTGAGATACTACTATTCTTAACATTATGGCTCTTAGGTGTTTTCTTATTCACTAATTGCTAAAAGTTTGGTGGAATTTATGCAGACTCATATGGCTGTCTAAAATGGTAACAATGGTGGAAGTAGTTATCTTTTCCATTAGTGGATAAACACATTTAGAATACACTTTATTTTACTACAAGGAATCCAAGGCTGATAGGAAAAATTGGCTCCAGTCTCTCTACACACCATGGAGAAGTGGAGGTCTGACCAAGAGTGGTTTCATAACTAACGCTTATTTAGAAGATGTCCTGGTTAAATTATGTTCTGTTTTCTATCCCCTTTATCCAACACTGTTTTGGAGAAACTGTTCCTTAAAGAGCAAACCCCTCACCACAGTCAGGTGAAGGAGAGGGGGAGGAGCACACGCCAGTAGTCCTGGCTGCTGGGTAAGAAGTGGAACTCTCTCCCTCTGGGAACAGGTTTTTGCAGCCAACGTGGTGGCCTGGAGCGCACATGGCAGCACGGAAAGCCATGTGGCTGGACTGTCAATCAAAAGACCCACCAGGTAGCCCACCCACACCACAGCCCCTGAAGCCTCTGACTGGCTATGACACCCCTCACTTTGGCTAGAAGGGCACTGCGTGGTCAGTGAACCATGTGTCCCATCTGGGAGGGGCGGCCGAGGTAGCCAAATCATATAAACAGAGGCACAGGGCCTCCATCTTGTTTAGCCTTCTGTCCCAAGACTGGGCAACATGTGACTCTTGGCGGCAACTATTTTTCTCTCCTCTATCTCCTTCTCTCTTTCTTTCTTCCTTCTTTCTTTACTCTTTTAATTTCTTTTCTTCCTTTACTCTTTTTTTCCTCTTGTGAGTGACTAAAAACCGATGAATGGTATTTCAGTAAGTTGTATGAGGTTGTTGTTTGCTGGTGCTCTAGTGTAATGTTTTTCCTTGGTTTTATGTTATTCCTGTAAATCCTTTTTGCCAAAACACCTATTTTCTCACTAAATTAAAAGAAATAATCTTGGGAGAAAGTGCGTAGCTTTTTTTCTCTACATGAATTCAAGGTATCAAAGAACCAAAGTCTTTGCAATAGTTCGCATGGGCAAAATCTCTTGGAGTCTTAAATAAAAGTAAAACACCTGGCCAAGTGGGTGACTTCGGCACCAGGGCTTTGCGCATGCACAGGCAGTTGGAGCCACCCCTGGGAGTCACCGCTACATCGGCACCATGCCCTGCACCCTCACCGGGGACTTCCTGAAAGGGAGCCACCCACAGCCGCCTCTGCCACAGCCAAAGAGAAAACAAAAGTGAAACTTACTCTGGCTGACACACCATTTCACAGGAGCTGAGCAGAGCTCGTTGGCATGGAGCCAAAACCAGCCCAGGCCCCAGCAGAGCCATGTGGAACACAGCCCAGCAGAGCTGTAGACAAGCGTTTCTTCAGAAACTTGTTTTCTGCAGTAGTTTTTCTTTGTTTTCCCAGGGAAGTGGAGGGGAGAGCTCGTGTCAGTCATCATTTTTGCCTGTGTAAAAAAAAGGAGGGGAGACTAGACTAGACTTATTTTTCCCCTCATTCCCTTTCCTTCCCAGTACTCAAAGAACAGATTTCAGAATTGTACTTTTCTAAAAATTCTTAATTAGAAGTTTCCCAAAATCTCCCAACTGTTAAAACATCACGTCTAGTTATCTCTAATATTCAGTCTTCATAATTCTACTGATTTTTGGAGGACTTTTTAAAAAAAAAATAAAAACAGAAACATCTGTGTTTAAAACCATCGTATCTTCACACAGTAAGAGAAACTAGAGGATATATATTCATGCCTACACAATTGTAAAGTTGATCTGAAAGTAAGTTCAGTTGATTGCTTTATTTAAAATTTTAAATAATTATGTATCATCTGTAACAACATTACACAAGGCACAAAAATGGGACTTCTAGTATTTATTGCTTAAAATCCACTAAGATAAATTATTTTTTAGCAAATTCCTTAATTATATGAAGCTTACATGACTTATCTATCTGTCCATCTGTTTATCATCTGCTTCACAGTATTTTTTAAAAATGATTGATCAACTTCTGTAAAATTTGAGAAGAATGGAACACTCAAAGACTATTTGTCTTGTGTTTCATCAACCAGGTGGCTGGAAATGAAAGTGCTACCCATATATTTACAGTCTGAGAAAGGCTTCAGCTCATTAATTTTCTGTTCTGTTTAGCCTGTTAAAAGCCAAAAAAATCCCAGTAGATCAACATATACCACTTCTTATCTAACAAGTAATTAATGAGTGAATGAGTGAGGTAACCTGAGAATCGTGTGGAAGGTCAGAGGGAAAAAATATAGGGAAGTGTGGGAAAGACTGCAAGGGTAAATACATATACAGGACATATATCAGGAGAGTTGAATTTGTTCTGTCATTGAAGCATAGTACAGCAAGCTACAGGAAATCAAACTGCACCTTTTTCACTGCTCAGAAAACAATGCCGTCATTCTTGTTAAAAATAAATGTTAGAGAAACTGTTCATCCTGTTGCTTGTCTGATTTGCCAGTCTACAGCTGACCTCTGCCAAAGTACCAACATGTACCTTGTTTCATACTGTATTTATATCGATTTTTCACTCACATCAAGCCCTGCTCATTGCTAAGTTCTCTATAAAGTTTATTCCCTTTCTTAACTCTTCACTCAAACACAACTGAAAGCATACATTCATGCAAAATAAAAGAATAACTGACACTACATATAATGGACTCTGGCATCCTAGAAAATAAGAGGTACCTTGATTTTTCCTGTTTTCTTGATTATAAACTCTTATAGCAAGGACACTTATTTACTGTTTGTTTATATGACACTAAGTTATCGGAGCCACTAGCACATGATATTTTTAAGTGATTGCAACAGTTAGTTCTAAGTAAAAGGAAGTGAACATGAAAGCATTGCCATACGTTGCATTCAAAATGCTATTAGATATAACAATATTTTTAAAAATTAATTTTGAGAATATCTGTCCATTGGCACTGTTTCATTACTCATTCATTACATTAGATCCTTTACAAGTTGTATCACTTAGCCAACAAGAGAATCACTATATAGGATTCTGAACTTCACTATAGCCCCACTGGGACATGTGCATGTTAAAGAAAAGAGTAATATAAAGAAAAGAGTAATTTATTTAATGAGATGGCAGAAAATTAACAAGCTGTAATTGAATCATAAATACGCATTTCTGTATGAATATATAGGCTTCACTACTTCACAGTTATATCACTACTATTTCCCATATTTCAGTGAATGACTTTTTAATTTTTTTGAGTCTTCTCACTGTAATGAGTCTATTTCTTTTTCATTATTTCAGAATACCAAAAACATTGCTGCAGGACTATAGCAGTGAGTAGGAGGCTGTAGTAAATAGGTCAGAGCAATTATCTCACAACTTTCCTTTCAATCTCCTGTGACTTTAGGACATTAGGTGTAGACATGGTGATGAAAATATCTTTGTCCAGCTCAGCAACATGCTGTGAGAGGCAGTTTGTGGAATAAGATCCTGAAAAAGACAGCAGCATGAGAAAGTGTAAAAATATAACATGAGGGACAGAAAGAAAATGTCTTTGACATTAAAGCAGTATAAAACCGTAAGACCTGATTCCCTTTGCATTCACTACTGTAAATCAGAAAAAATGGTATCAGAGCAATGGAGTTAATTTACCTGAGAAGATATACAAAGTTTTAATTTTCAAATATATCTACTCTTTTGTCTAGGGAAATAAAATATGGCAAAGTTATGTGATGAGGCAAAAGGTGGTTCTGGAAGCATAAGCATCAAAGTTAATTCTTCTTTAAGTTTTGACCTTATTGTTAATGCATTTAATAAGTAATTTTCTTGTGAAACATGCAGGTATAGTTCAGTGTGTACATTGAAATCAGTTTATCTTTTACTGTTTTCCTTATGAAAACAGCTAACTGGATATTTTGACATGGACAGAAAACTTAATATACAAATGTATCCTAGCTAAAGTAGGATTATATTTGTCTTTTTCATGCCTGTGGTGAGAGGAAACACATTTGACTAACTTGAAATGAAAGTCAGTGATTTTTTTATGCACAGAAATACAATAAGCAATGAACAATTCAATCAACAACTGAAACTGATTGATCCACCTGCTTCCAGCACCACTGATATATGAAACCTACTAAAAATCCTGAAACCTCTGATCTTACATTTATGACACCTGAAACATAAATCCATTCAGAAACAGCTGCATCTCTTTCACTGATCATGAAACAACTTCTGCCTTGCTATATGTGCGATTAAATGTGTTTAGGTGTTTTGTTGTTTTTTTTGTTTTGGTGCTTGATTTGTTTATTTATTTTATTTTCTGCTTTGGTTAGCAATATTGGTGAAAGGATAAATATCTGTCACAAAACTGAAGGATTTTGTTAGGCAACTCTCTGCAATTTTGTCCTAGGTATAGGGACGGGAGATGGTGAGTATGATCAATTACATATTCTATCCCATTTCATCATTTTGTGATGGACCGTTCCTTTAAGTGTTGGAATGTTTTTCCTTGCCTGAGTTGCAGAAGGGGATGGATGGGGGCCCCTTTTAAAGCTACAGGGTGGAAGCAGAAGCATCACCATTGTCATTTTCCCTGACAGGGAGAGAGAGCAGCTTTACTTCAGGCCGGGGCGGCTCCACGGGTCCCTACCAAGGGAACCCGCTCCAAATCCAAAAAAAACCACACCACTGCTTTCAGAAGCTGGGCTGCAGGTCACAGCCGCCCCATCCCAGGTTGAGACCTCTCCTCAAACCTTGCCACCAGCTGAAGAAGAAGGGGCTGCCTCGCAGCTGCCAGTCCGGAGGGAGAAACCCTTCTACCACTGGGAAAATTCTGCAGTTTCTGCAGTTGTTCCTTCAGCTGGTACTGTAGCCACTGCAGCCCCCTGGCCACTGGAGAAAGAAAGAAAAGGAAACTACACACTGTGGCCACCGGCACCTCACGACCACTTGTAATCACCACGGGTGGGGAAACAAAGACTCCTGGCACCCACACCAGTGTCACAACCTCTTTTTTTGATGAAATAAACTTCCAGGTTTTTCATTTGTTTTGCTGGGGAGGGTTTTTAAACCTCAGAACTTCATTTGCTACATTATGTTTCTTTGTTCTGTCAGCATTTTGCTCGGGGTGTGTATGGGGGGACCAGGTAACACTTTTTTTACCTTTGTTTGTTTAAACAGTTTTCCTCTATATCTTTGCAGTTACTGCTATTTCCTTCAGTAAATTGTTATTTTTACTTATATTTCTCTGTATTGTCCATATTCATTATTGGATGGGGTGGGGGAAGGAAGAAAAACGAAAGGGGAGTGACTTATTTGGAGTTCTCTTTCTCCAGTTGGTTTGTCCAAAACCAGCACAGATTTGCAGCTGATAATTTCACCTATTTCTAAAAATATTCATAAAAGAGAACTGGTTAAAATGCAAACCCTAAAAACAAAATCAAAGGGAAAGAATGAGGGTAAAACATATTTTAAATTATTAAGAAACACAAGTCACAGATTCCCCAAGGTTTTATATTTGTATTTGACATGCTTATTATGAAAAATTGTATTAACTTAATCCAAGTCCCTTCAATAAATTAAAATAAAAAAAAATAAATAGTGTAATAAACTTTCTGAGAAAAGCCTCCTGGCCTAATTGGAAAAATCTAAGAATATACCTAAAACCTGCTTATCTCAGTATGAATTGCCTGACGTCTCAATATGAAACAGCATAAATTCTAAAACTTTGGTCTTTTGCAATTTTCTTCCCCTTTTTTAAATTAGTTTTTACCAGTTTTTAATGCTGGCTGAAGTAATCATTGGCACATAATCTTGCTGAGCGCTATAGCTGTAACAAATAAATATGGTGTAACTCTCCCATTAATGCTGTTGTAATTTGCAAATTGAGTTTTAACAAGATATAATTTTTATTTCTAGAGTGTTTTTTGTTAAAAAATAATTCAGTAAACTCAATAATTCAGTAAATAATTCAGTAGCTCAAAGCTGTGACAGCCACATAAAAAAAATGTTGCATGGTGTCTTTGAGAAGGCCTGAGGACTCTGGGGCATGCAGTCTAAGTCTGCTATCTGCTACTTACATGCTAAAGTGCTTACTAAAAATTTGAGATTGACTTCTTTAAAAAAAAACCTCAGCAAAACATAGATGAACAAGACAGGACATGTACAGATTTAAATCCAGCTGTACAGGCAGTGTGAAGAACCTAGACCCAAAATTAATAGTATGGTGAGAGGAATGAAGTATAATACCACATCTAATAGTGCCTGTCCAGCGTAGTTTTTAGACAATAATATCCTTCTGGAACATACAACCAAAAATAAATATCTTTAGCTCATTATTCTAGTTTATTTGTTTGTTTATCTCTTACTCATAAGCTGAAATATCTGTCTGTTTATTAAAAGAAGATTCCAGTTAGAAGTACAGAAGTAGAGCAGCAATAGGTTCTGAACATCTATGCAGCACTATATATGTACCTATGTACCAGTTATTCCCATCTGATAGGAAAATTTTTAAAGGGCTACAAATATAAAGGTCAATCCCATAATTTTAAACACTGTATTTGATGCCGACTAATACTCTATGAAGGATCTATAAGCTGGGTTTTCAGGCATTTTGCCCCTGTGGGCTAACTAAGATCAAAAGTGCCTTTGAAACCCTATGTTCAGAGACAAGGCATAAATGTGTTAGATGATCTAGGGCACAATAAGCAGCACATAGAGAAAAAAGATTAACATATTTCTCCCCAGATGGTGCATCAGACCAAGTGATACACTGTTGAAATGCTGATGTAACCTTGGACCAAAATGATAGTAACTTCTGTAGGACTTTCAGTAGTGCAAGATGAACATGCTTATAAATGTTATGTATGGTACATTGCAGACAACCAATCACACAGCCAAGAGAGGACAGAGTCCCATCTTAGAAGTGTAAACATTCTTATGCTACACAATGCTACGTCATGTTTTGAACTGATAGCCTTTTTTTTCCCAAACAAAATGAGGATAACTATTAGACTTTTTTGTATTTTTCTATAGAATGAGGCTGTAGCTACTCAGGAAAGGATTTATACACTGTGTCACTTCAGCAGAATGCTGACAAAAGATTGTTAAAAACTCCATACTTAAACTCCCGTGTGAAATACCTGGGATGGCTAACAGATATGCTTCTGGGTCCTCAGCATTCTAACTTTAACTCAAAGTGATGTTCTTTCTTTTGCATAATAGATTATCTGTCAGCAAGCAGGAGACTTTTATTCAAGATCCATTTCAGAAACAAGGGGTTTGAATCAGCATCTATCACACTCAAAGAAAATAACTATAAACAGAGCAGGCATTTGGACAGCAAGTTTTCCATTCTCCTGTAGAAGCTGGGACATGCTTTGTTTAGCAGAGAGAGAAGATGAGGCTCAGGGAAGACCTTATCCGTCTCCAGAACTACCTGAAAGGAGGTTGTAGCAAGGCGGAGGTCGACCTTTTCTCCCAGGCAACTAGGATGAGAGGACATAGCCTCAAGCTGTGCCAGAAGAGGTTCAGCTTGGACATCAGAAAGAATTTCTTCACTGAAATGGTTGTCAGGCAGTGGAATGAACTGCCCAGGAAGGTGGTGGAGTCACCATTCCTGCAAGTGAAGAAGTTCAAGAAAAAAAATGGACGTGGCACTTAGCTCTGTGGCTTAGGTGACAAATGTGAAGATCGGTCAAAGGTTGGACTTGATGATCTTGGAAGTCTTTTCCAACCTTAATGATCCTAGGATTCTATGATTCTAGTTTGGCAAGCTCCTAGGTTAAGAAGACACATATCTCATTGTAAATTATAAAAAAGGATTACTCAATTTCTACTGATAACTGCACTTTGAGGAAAATGGCCTTAGACATATTCTGCCTTCTGGAAGGGAAAAATCTAGCACAAACTATGAACATGTGAGAGAAGAAAGATGCAGGCTGCTCTAAATACCAATCTTCACACTTCCTTTACCTTTGTTACTATGCACAATAGAACTCCAGGAGCGAATCTTGACAAATTAGTGCTTTAGGCGCTCAGAATAGCTGAGACCTGAACACCTATTGCTCTACATGTATCTTATATGATGCTTGTTTAATACAAAACTGTAAATGCACATGATGTTTCATGAACACAGATACTTTTTTGCCCTGCCTTACTGGCTAAAGGAGTTTGTAGGTCATTTGCATCTGCAGTTGATTTTTTCAGCCTGACCTAACATAAAAGTGCTAGTGGACAGGGACAGAATTATGAAGGTTATCTTGTCAGATTATTCAGGGAACTGTTTTGGATAATAAATGAATCTTAAAAACCAAGAAACAAAACCACAGAGACAAAGTGTTGTTGAAGTAATTGAAAGAACTCAAAATTAATAACCTAATCAACTCTTCTGCTTCATTTCTAAGCACTTAAATATTTCTGACTTTATAAGAACAAAATCATTTATAAAAACCTGCTTTTATTTATATATATATATATATATATATATGTATGCAATAAACATATGTATATTGCTTAGTTCGCGAAGCCTAGCCATGATGATCATTAGTAAACACAAAAAATATTGTTCAATATTTAGAGGTTTATCTAAATACTGCTATTTTAAGAATTAGTATATCATTTAAATTAGTCTATCATTTAAAAAAACCTCAGACCATTTCAGAGATTTCCCATAATATCCAAGACACTTTAACAAGCTTTAGGACTGGTGCTGCATTATAAATTCAGTAACATTCTCTAGAAGGAGGCAAGAGAAAAAATGAGCCGTGTAGTAGCTTGCTTGTGTGGTTTTGCTGTTGGTGATTGGTAGCTAAGAGCTATTATTCTGCTTTTATTTAGCAGATACTGTAGTACTGACAACACGCTTCTCTAGCTTTGACCAGACAGAGCCAAACTGCAAGATTCTTCAGACTTTACATTTTAAAACATTTTAAAAGGACATTCAAGTCCTTTCATGTTAGGACTTGAAAGCTTAATATTATTTTCATGATCAAGTTCAGTTTTGCCTTTGGAATTAAGTGATTTGATTAGTCAATGCTTAGTGTGTGACTTGAATTAATGATTAAAACTATAAAATTTGCTGGATATGTTAACTTTTCAGTTGTAATTAGTATTAATGAAAATTAACAATCCTATTAGCTGTAAATCAAAATTGCCATACAGGAAAACAACCACCCTGCTAATTTTTTGAGAGGTTAACCATATTTTTATAGAAAATTCTTCCATACTAGAAACATAACTGCATAATGTGATAAGAAAGATTGTAAAATTGCATAGCAGTGGCTTATAACAGTTTTCAAAATTACTTGTCCTTACCAAAGTCAAACCCGAAATGTAATATAAAAGTTGCAATAAGAAATAACATGATTTGCCTTAAATCATTTTTATACTCTTCATTTTAAGTACTATGGCTTATAGTCTTAATAAAATAGTAAAAAAAAGAAGTTTCTTGAATGCAATGAAATGCTATTCTGTGCATGTAAAAAGATTATGCTGGTTGACTTTTGAAAAGCAGAAGGCTTTGAGGATTAAAAAGCAAAAACAACAACAACAAACCACAAACGACAAAAAATCCACTATCACAACAAAAAATTACCTAAGCTATTTTAATGCCAGATTATTAATGTCAGTAAACTGAGATACTTGTCATATTTCAATTTCCAGTTGTTCAAAATTATTGATTATATAAATCCTAACACTTTTTCTACTTGTTTCATATTTGTCACAATAAGTAAGCACGGAAAATTTGGCCTCATCCTCACTGTGTGTCAAGCAAGGACATTACTTTAATACATACCATAATGATGAATTAATTAAAACTTGAAAAGTGCTCATATTATGCTAATGAACTCTGCTGCTAAAGCTAAAAATAAGTAACTTCAAAAATAGCCATGGAAACCTTTAGGGTTGCAATTATTTAATTACAAGACACCTTTAAAGAAATGAATGATAACTCAAGCGACTATAAGTATTTCTCCAGTTATGCAACT